CAAAAACGGCAGGCCACATTTTACAGAAGCTAAGCTGGACCATGGTACTACCTCCACCATAGAGGCCTAATAATGCTCGATCGGACTATCACCACTTTTGCACCCTGAGACAAAATCTGCGTTAGAGATAAGTTTAAAACTGGAGCCACCTCAGAAGTGATCTCACCATCTTCTTTGATCGCCAGTCTCATTCTTTTGGGGCGGAAGGCATTGAGTATTTGCCATGCACATGATTGCATATCATTACCATAGTGGTAAATGTATTGTTGATCAATGGATTTCTTTGATTAAGTAGCAAGTAAGCCGACAAAATTGTCGAAATGCGAAAAAATTTGGGGCGACCCAATATATGCCGCATGGCATCAACATGAATGATTGATAAAAGAGGCGAATAGACTGCAAGTAATGGTCAGAAGAAAACATAAAGGAAATGTGTTTGCAGAAAAATCCAAATTTACATGTAATATTCAGGTAGGTAATTTAATAGTTCTACTATCTCCGTTTAATTTCAATATCGTTCGTTGTACAATGATTTTGATACGGCCATGAATCCTCAAAAAATATAGGCAAAAACATATTTTACAAAGAGTACAATCTTCTATTTTACCATATTTTCTTTTTTTCAGTACGGTGTGTGCTGTTCGACAAAGCTGCAACGCAAAGAAAACAGTCAGTATTTTAGTCTTAATCTTAGCGAAGCATTGTTCTACTGCTATAACTTACAATGACTAGGCTTGTTTGTTGATACTTAACGTGTTTATACTTTCCGATTGCCCAAATGAACGCGACGCCAACGAGCAGTATACATCTTACCCTCGAAAGGACGATCGAATATGGTACCCATGGTACTCTAAAATTAAAAGCGAAAAATGCACAGATTATTCTCGAGAGGGCCGCCGAATAACATGGTCCCAAATAGTGGTCCCCCAAAGAATGGACTTTAGACCTAAAGACGGAATCCCAATAGAGTACTTAGTGTCTAAAAAACTTGGTAGAGTGCAAAACTTCAGGTTATGAACACTATGACCTGATGGATGCTGCTGTAAGCGACCTTTACAAGGGATTTCTTCGCTTTATCCGTAGTATTACTATCAACATCAATATCATAAATATTTTCACTGTATCGGAGTGTTATGAATCAACTTAGTATTATTAAGTTATTGGTTATTTTAGTCTTCCTATACTTCCGATGTTCACGGTGTGTAACAATAGTGATTGCGCATACTACCTAAAGACAATACTTTTGCCGTGAAATTGTGACTGCACGAATACCATTGAGTTGCCCCCTAATTTTCTCACAATTCTACATTTTGCTAATTCAATTGCTAACTGATTGTTACGATCAGTTAGTCAAAAAAACACAATCGTGTTTATTGATTTGCAACCATTTGTTGGGCATGGATGGGAAACATTCCTCCCAGATAGATTGAGGCTAGAGATCAGAGAAATAGCTGAGCTTACTTTTGAGCTGGTTATAGGGCGTGGAAGAGACTACGGCCAATATCACTATCTACGATGGATGTGATGCCGTAGTTCCGCCCGTTTCTCCGATCGTTCCAAACGCTTCTATCCCTTTTCTAGGGCCAGCTTCCTGAAGTTGTTCAACATAGACGTCAATATTCACAGCCTGCTTCCTGTTTTGCAATTTCCAAAACTGCATGCGCCGTCAATCTCAAAAAATTTGAGCATAATATTTTGAGCGTGGAACTTGAGCTTTGGTTCACCTGGCGGTCATCACAGCGGAAGACCAGTAAGCACGGCTCGGGCTGTCTCGTGGTGAATCAAGGGCTCATCTACAATAGTGATAAACTTGAGAATGTTGTGTCTGTTCGATTGCTGGAGGAGACTTTCGCAGATGGTCACGCGTGCAGCGCGGTTATGGTCACTCGATGCGTGAGGTGTCCATCAAGACATCATTTTGTGGTAGGTCAATTAATTTAGAATCAGAGCAATGGTGTTATGGCTGTACACACGCACCACTAGAACATTTTCCACAATAGCACAGCCTTTTTGCATTTCCTGAACTTAAATACAACAAAACTGATCAAAACAATAGTGCGAAAAACTTGTAATTTTGATGTGCTCCAATAGATTTCCATATTGTCGACGTCAGTAGATGTCAAGTTAGCTTTGTCCGGCTGAGAAACCCTGGTAGTCCACGTGTATGTTGCGAACTCCAGTTTTACTGAACATGAAGAAATAAAAATCTCTAAGAACCTCAAATCTACCAGCCCCTGAACCTATCGAGAAAAAGCGAAGGATCGGTGCCAATTACCCAGCTGACGAAGGAAACATTGATGTCCCATTTTAGTGAAGATGGCATGCATAGGACTGGTGCAAGTGAGGAATTGAGACTTTTCACTTAATTCATTTTATTTGGCAGCCTATTGCGACAGTATAATGTTACAATAAGCCCAATGATGTGAAGTGGTGTGCAAAAACATTTGCGTCAGCTGGGATTTGAACCCATATTTCATCCTATCCGGGAGGGCGTCCTGAACCGTTGCACTACCGACGCCCGTTTTGACACCACTCTTTTTACGCTAAAAAGAGTTGTCTATCAACAGCCCACCGTCTACAGATTTGGCATGTGCAGTCACTATTGACATTGCGACTCCGGATAGGGTAAAGTCCGGGTTCGAATCCAGCTGACGTAAACGCTTTTGCCAACACTTTACATCATTGGGAAGATAATAATCTTATTTATGATAAATACCTTATCTTTTCATAACGAACTCGTATAGTTCAGTGGTATGAGAAACTAGTGAGCTGAACTGTTCGCATTACGAAATGAAATTGCAAGGATGAAGTGTGTGCTGTAGATCACCCGTTGAGAGATGTGCTAAGCACTCAACTACATAATATCTCGAAGAGATGACACAACGCATGCATGCTTATATACAGCGATTTACGGTGGCCTACCGATATAACAATTCATTGCTGCCACTTTTCCTGACAAGTCTATTAGCTATTTGTGAACTCCGAAGGAACGAAGTGCTAAGCTGTTTTTCACTTTAAAATTATCAAGAATAAAATTTTGAAGGTAAGTTACAGGGAAATCGTCTGCTCGTTAATATCATTAACCGCAGTCATTGTAGGCTATTCGCTAACAACCATTACAACCTTTGACCTATCTTACTTTTAATCATTACTTCTTGTAGGAATTTGGATCGTTTTGCAGTTTAAAGGATAATCAAGTAGAAATGTCGTCTACATCTCACAGGCCCGTAATTACCAACCTAACTTATTCGCCGTCGTGTCGTGGTTCTCACCATTATTGAAAGTGTCTGTTGGTCTAATTGTGTCGCATGTTCTTAGTGGATAATTCTCAAAGTTTTGTTACATTCCAAGTTTCATAACGTTTGATTAAATTCTTCAAGTTACATAGTTTTAAGTAAAAATTTATGGCTTTCAGGCAGCCGCTTCACAATCTCATCTTAATAACCTTCGTTTCGAGTGTTTTTTTAAGACCACAGCTCAAATTCCAATATGCCTTGCAATCATTTTTGAGCCACGCATGTCAGTGGTCTGTCAATGAGGGCTGACTTATAGAGCCCGATACACATGTTTCGATCTCGCGATCTCGTCAGTCGGGCAGCTACCCTTTCTCGTCTTTTGCTAATCTCTGTGGGAGCTCCAGCCCCCACACTAAGAGTTAGCGGCGACGATCGCTTTACACTCTATGTCAAGTCAAAAACTCTGGTCTTAAGAAAATACTCGAAACGAAGATTATTATGTATTGAATATACTAGCCACGACCAATTGAGTGTACAACACTCTGTGTTTGGTGAGTTTTTCACTGGACATAAAGTGTATAGCGTTCGTCGTCGCTAACTCTTAGTGTGGGGACTGGAGCTCCCACGGAGATCAGCAAAAGACGAGAAAGGGTAACTGCCCGACTGACGAGATCGTAAGATCGAAACACGTGTATCGGGCTATATAAGTCAGCCCTCATTGACAGACCACTAACATGCGTATCGCAAAAATGATTGCAAGGCATATTGAAATCTTATCTTAGTGTGAATATAAATTCGACATAGACAAAGCGACGAGCAATAGGTGCTGTTTTATTCTACACTGAATGTCGGCAGGCATTTTAATGCCTTTCTGAGTGACCGAATGACACTGTTCATAGTTATGGTGTGCGCACTGAGAAGCATTATGATGTTCAATTTGGATAGACGACACCTAAGTAATTACTCATGATTTTCAACGGGCCATAGAAACCATCATATTATTTTATCCTTATTGTATCCTTTTTTATCAGCCTTTGAGGCACTTTTGGACCTTAAATGAATTTGCGCTGCTTTTCGCATTGCATACATCCATAGAATTTTCAGTCTAATCGCAGAACGGGTTATATTATCACGCGGTTCACTGTGCCACCTGAATTGACTCTGATTATTGAATGGTTCAGGAAAAGAGCAGCAAAATATCTACTTGGGTTTAACTGAACCGACGTGAGCTAAAACAGTGGCACAAGTATGTACAACCACAGACATGTGCCTACACATGATTACTATCCTATATCAATTAGAATCTAATACAAGTTGTTAAACCGGGTGGATGGGATCCCCGGTGAGCCAACAAGAGGGACCGAACCGATGATCACGTGTGTACTGTCAGAAACCTCTAGCCACTACGTTATATGACACACGATAGAGCATAGCTGTACTGCATCTGCGTATGGTTAGCAAGGTCATAAGTTTGCTTCGTGCGAAAATTAGAGAAAACAGTAAAATCTGATTCTCTTGTTTATGTCAAAATGTCATGATGTTCAAGCCACTTGTGTAATCAATCGTCACACTACTGATAGGATTCATCATTCAGAATTTTCCGACATGTAAAGTAGAAATGGATTTGCTCGTTTGTAATACGTCCATTTGTATAATATAGCTCAAAGTTGCAACAAAGGTAAAAGGAACCAAACTGCTTGATAGATTAATTTCTTCGAACCATAAAGGCAATGTTTGCGAAGTTCTCTTGGCTCACTTTCCTCGCAGGTATAGTTAATTAGCAAATTGTATTTGCCTTTCCTCAGTGTAATTGCAATTTTCAATTTTTTACTTTGAGTTTCTCTTCAGAAGGAAAAACTCGAGACTCTCTAAGCACTGCGAAATTTTTTTCCTCCGTATCAGTATAGTTATGAGAAAAGTCCTGTTGAAACGTAGTCAGATCATGTGGTGAAATTTGCGGCTTCTTGGTGCATCTTAGAAGGTAGATCATAAATAATAGGCTTTAGAAAAAGTTTTGCCGCATTTTCAAAATACATAGAAAATTCATCTGTAAGCGAATCAACTTTAAACAAAAGACACATTAATAGTCGAAGTAGTTTCCTTCCACATCAAGACAATTCAGCCACATATCCGGCAGCATAAAGATTTTGTGGCTGTAAGACTCACGATCTTCAATTTGAAAAAATTCTGAAGATTCTGCTCAATTTCGGGGATATTTCGGAACTTCTTGGTCTTTCAAAAATTGCTCTATCGGACGGCTAATCGGTCTCCTTCCTCATCAAATGCCTTGAAACCAGTGCTGAACTGTAAGAATTTCGCAAATTTCGTCATCATAAGCTTAGCAGATTTGCCATGTGACATCAGAAGCGTTGACACTCTATTTGTAGTGGAAGTGCAACAGCAGGGAGTTAGTTCTGATTAGCAAGGACAAATGAAAAATCAATCTTATTTGCTGGAGAAGAACTTTTTATAGGAGCGTTAGTACATTCGAAAGCTGAGACTTGAGATGCAGCCACATGTCGCCGGTTCTTTGAACATTTCTTTATAACGCTGTAACATTTAAAACAAAGACTGTTTCATAAATATGCGTGTTTTTCTCTTATCTCACTTGTATTTCGCGGGATAAACTCATTCGTGAGAGTGTTAGCACTCAAACTATGGCACAACTTCGATGAACTCAAAAATGTGTTTGCTTTTCAAAAAGCTCTTTTTATCAGGTGATCTTCGTGGCCCTTCAATTTGTGCATCAAACCTTGCCGAACAGATCTCTTTCTTCAGACTCTCAGTAATCATCTGATGGCATTATGATTTCTAATTCTAGCGATGTGCTTATCTTTTGGAAATAAGGGAAGATAAAATCGAGTTTTGAATTTTTGGTAACGCTGTATCGCACGCTATTGGACAAGACGAGGGCCGTGGCAGGGGCGGGACTAGGCGGGACGATAGATATTTTGTTTGATTTGCGAATGTTTCCTCCGCTTTGGAAGAAACTCAAGATAAAACCATTAGGCAAGATACTACGAAAATTTCTCTACACATGGATATGCTTTTCTGCTTCCGGAGAATTATACGCGCATAGAAATGAAGGAGCGCGGCAGTAATGAAGCACAATTCTTTTTCTAGATGCTACACAATTACGAAGGGGTGTTTTGAAAAACCGGCGACTTGAGGCTGTAGCCTCGTGTTTCAGCTTTCGAATGGTCACTAACACTCCTATGAAAAGATCCTTTTAAGCGCATAAGACCGGTTTTACAATTGCTCCCTCTTGATTAGAAAGAACCCAGCAACGAATTTCTTCATTGAACAGTTCCATTGTGGAGGCCGTGCGGAGAAATGATATATCGCTTGATTCTTGAGAAAACGAACCTTTTGGGCCTTTTTGCACATAAATACATGTGTAAAAATTATGTTCTCACGCAACACAGCAGAACTTTTCTACAACCTATTGCACAGAAGGACCTATCAATAAAGAATGATGAAGCGGCAATTTAGGTTTTGCTGAGAAACTTACGATAATTGCCTCTGCTCTCCTCATGTCACATTGTTGTTGAACTAATCTTTCAACGAATTCCGTTCTAACGATAGCGCTCGTCTTAGCGTTCAGTTAGTTTATTCATTCGCTCATTCAATCCACCTTTTGTAGTCTCTTTGTCTTCGCTTCGTTTGCGTCGAAACCTCTTCGAGGGAGCACTCCTTGAATGGAGAACCATATTTGGTGATGTCCTTATATACAGCATAGAACGTATAATAACTCTAGATGACCATCCTGAATTTTTCGATGATTTGATACTTCACAAATTTTCTCGATATGATATGGTACAAGTTAATATGTGTTTGGTGCTTATACCTCTTAGTACTAAATTTGATAAATAATAATTTTTTTAGTAATGTGATACCACTTTTGCTCTGTACGGATCCTTTAAGCGACAACATTATGTTTCAGAATAACCGTTTTTGTAAGCTGTCGAACCTGTACTAAAATTCTGCCTGAAAATTTACAATTGCTTGGTGAGCGAAAATACCACGTCAAAGGTGAAACGTGGTATTGTTCTTTCTGCAAGAGCGCACGTGAAAAGTCGCTTTCGAATTTCCAATATAGTGTTGAACTTGGAGAAATTCAAGCTATAGAATGATTGCTAAACGCTGAGGCAAGATAGAAATCGCTCCGTCCCAAAGGACTCAAAATGGGCAGACGAAGCACTGATGGCGTTTTGTTCTACAGTATTAACCAGTCGGCTAAATAGTATCATTTATTTCACAACACAATACCTAACAACGCTGG